ATAATAATAATATTTTTGCTTTTTCTTATTATTATTATTTTTATCTCTTTGGAATACGACAAGTTTCACGTATTACTTTATTATTATCATCATCATAATCATCATTATTATTATTATTATTTACAATTAATTTTTATTTTGTCTCACGTTAGGACGTACATCATACACGTGGGCGTGTCCGATTTTCACGTTTCATCTGTGATTAAATGACGAGGACATGCTTTGATTTTTAACCATCGTCGACATGTGCAATTCCGCTCTTTTTATCTTTTTCTCCAAAAGTATCTTGTAAAATTCCGGATGCATTTGTTTTAAATGTCTTTCGCATATAGTGTTCGGCCTTTGACCCTTAAACGTTTTACCACAGCTCATGCACATGGCTCTGTGTGTTTCCTTTAAAAAATAATCCCATATGAAAGCTCTCGGTACGCCGGAATAAACCATAGTCGTTCTCATTAATCCTAAAATAAAAAAAAATTCGAAAAACAAATTTTATTTAAAAAAACAAACAAAAACAAACGACGACGATGACGATCACGACGATGACGACGACGACCACGACGACAACAACAACAACACCGACAGCGACAATACATTATCGTTATTAATAATAATAATAATAATAAATAGGAACTGTAAAAATTGAAAGTTAGGAAAATAGTAGGTGAGGGGGGAAAAGAGGTGGAAGGGTGGGGGGCATCAATTAAAATCCATTAAGTATTAAAATTAATTAATAAATTTTCTTTATTTTTTTATTTTATAAAACGATTTTTAAAAAAAAACAATAACGTCATAATAAATAAATAAATAATTTTTATTTTACTTATACAATACATAACATTAATAAATAAAATTTATTTTTTTTTGTTGTTAACAAATCGTTCTTCGTTTTAACCCTAAAAAAAAAAAAAAAAAAAATTTTTGTTGTAATTTTTTTTTTTTTTCGATGGTTGATCTGTTTGTTTGTTTGTTCGTTTGTTCTCTAACCTTTTACTGTTTCAATTCGTCCTGTGTAATTTATCGTGATATAAATAAAAACATTTTCTTCCTTTAATAACGCAAAGTGGAATTTTACACGTGGAACACATCCAACGAGTTCTTCTCACACTTTTCAATATAGTACACATTGTGCATCGTCTTGATGTTGTCCGAACTGCCACGTGATCATCATTTATAAAACTTTCTGTGGTTGTTGTATAAAACAAACAGAAAAAAAAAAAAAAATGAAAAAAAAAAAACAAAAAATTACATTCAAAATACATTCGAATCTCTCTCTTTTTCTTTCTCATGCTTTCATCTCACGCTCTCTCTCTCTCTCTCTTTTTTGAGGAAATGACGACACTGAGGAAAATATTGTAATAAATAAAAACAATTTGCACAAAATAATAATAATGATAATAATAATAATACTAATACATAAACGCAAACAAAAAACTTTTCTCTCTCTCTCTCTCACTCTTCGAATCCCAAATTTAAAACGCGGCGTTTTATGTTTATTGTTTCGAAACAAAATTTCACGCTTACTAATACTAATAATAATAATAATAATAATAATAATAATAATAATAATAATAATAATAATAATTTACAAATAATTGATAAATCGGCTAAAAATTAAATTTTAAATGATACATTTTTTACATGAAAAAAAATGTCATTGTTTCTTTTTTTTTTTTTTTTTTTTTTTTTTTTTAATTCATAAAATTTTTTTTTTTTGCTAAAACAAATTTTTTTGCTTTGTAAATGAAAAAATAATAAAAACAACAACCTAAAAAAAAATAATAATAATAATAATAATTTCTTTTAAAATTCTATTGAATGCCATGTTGACGATGATGACGATGACGATGACGTTGACGATGACTACGATGATGATGATGATGATGATGATGTTTCTTATGGGTTTATGTTTATTACGAAACATTTAATAATAATAATAATAATAATAATAATAATAATAATAATAATAATAATAATAATAATAATAAACACGGGAGGGAAGGAAACGAAATTTATTAATAATAATAATAATATAGAAATTCTCAAATTATTCAGTTTATTTTTAATAATAAATCTGCCATTATTACGAATTGTTTTAATTTACAAACAAAAACAAACAATAACAACAAACGTTAAAAAATATACAAACTCTTGTTGTAACAAACGTAAAATTTTTAACCCTCGTTTGGGGGAATCCTCCTCCCCCATTTTGGGAGGAGTCAAAAGGGAAACGTGAAAAATTTCCACAATTATTTATTTATTTTTTTTTTCACTCTTTCTCTCACTCTCACGCACTTTAACGGGGTGGTGGGGGGCGGGGGCGGGAAAAAAACGCACAAAAAAAAAAAAAAAAAAATTAAATAAAATCGACTTACCATTCGACAACACATTCAAATGACGACGACGACGACGACGTCTTGTGCCGCCGATTTCAATTTTGTCGGCGTTTTATTAAAAAAAAATATTTTTTTTTTTTTTTTTTTTTTTTTTTTATTTTCTTGCATCGTCTGTAAAAAAATGATATTAATAATAATAATAATAATAATTGAAAATAACGTTAACAATGAAATCGGCATTAAAATCAATTCAAAACAAATAATGATAATAATAATAATAATAATAATAATAATAATGAAAAAAAATGTATACACATACTTTTTAAAATAAGGTTGTCGACAAGTAGTCCACACAATATAATGTAAATAAGTTAAACATTAAACAATTTTAAATAAGTTAAAAATTACAAATTTTATCTATACGATTATAATTTAAAACAAAAAAAAAAAAAAAATAAATTGTAATTAAATTGTCCTTCGTTTAATTTTTAGAATATTAAGAAAGTGTATGTAAAAAGTATAACCGACTGACTTTTTGTCACATCGAAAGAAATGTACAAACATAATAATAATAATAAATCATTTAAAAACATGCCCATTATTGTCATGATGATGATGATGATGATAATTAAGATGACAGCAATGATGAAAATCATCATGATCATCATCGTAATGATTATTATTATTATTACTGTTTGCATGCAATCGTGAGAATGATATTACAAAAAAAAAAAAAAAAAAAAAAAGTTTTAAATGTTTACACATGTGATGCATGAAATTAATAAATTTTATCTCCATAATGTTATTGATTTCATCGAAAATAAATAAATAAATAAACAAACATAATTGAATAATGGGGTAACTTAATAGTTAATCATTACAACGACAAATATATTATTATTATTATTATTACTATTCACTCATCACTTTAATTTTAACGACTCATGCGACAAATGGAAAAAAAAAAAAAAAAAAAAAAATTATTTATACAAAATTCTCATTTTGCTAAATTAAATATATAGAAATTTTCTTAACGATAGCAAATCAATCAATGATTCAAATTAATAAATTTAAATTCGAATGTATAAAACATAATTTTTCTCGTATTCGATATTATAATTAAAACTTCTTTTAGCAAAATTCTTATTGTATTATTATTATTATTATTATTATTATTATTATTATTTTCCTTAATTTGTATTTTTTTTTTTTTTTTTTTTTTTTTGACAATTTTATAAATGGTATTTGAAATGATGATAATAATAAAAAAAAAAAAATTTGACTCACTTAAAATTGAATTTCTATACTTTAATAAACACATAAACATCCAATGGATTTTTCATCATTAAAATTAATTATGTATTATTTAATTAATCAATTAGTTTTATGAATGATAATAATAATAATAATTAAATTGATAATAATCAAATCGGTACGAAAAATTTACTCTCAATTCATATTACATAATATTTTAAATAAATTTTTTTTTTTTTCATAATTAATAAATTGATACTTGATACATTTTATAATAATAATTATTATCAATAAATTCGGTTTAAATAAATGAGTACGTTTATACATAAATAAATGTTAAATAAAATAATGTAGTTAAATAAAAATAAATTTAATCGTAAAAAAAAAAAAAAAAGTTATGAAAAAAAACGAATTAATTTCGTTTTCATAAAAAAACATTAAAAGTATATATACAAATTCACTTTCATTTAATATCATATGAAAATTTAACGGCACGCTCACAAACTCACAAAATGATAATATCAACGTATAATTTATAAAAAAAAAAAATTTATCGAAATATATAAATATTAATATAAAAATACCTGTTTAATATGTTTATATATAATATTCACCCTCGAATCATCATACATATCGTGTTAATATTTCCAAATTTTTTTTTTAAATAAATATAAGCGTCACGTCAACCACAGTATTTTTCCCGACATAAATTTATATGTGTATGTAAAAAAAAAATTAATTTAAAATGATTATAAAAAAACCGATAAATATTAAATAAAAAAAAAACTCTAACCGAATAATATTATTTAATTAAACGTATTATTAATTTTTTATCATGAACAAAATACAAAATATGATGCATTTTATTTAAAAAAAAAAAAATAATAATAACAAACGTAAAATAAACGCATTTTTATTTTGAGAATATGAAAGCAAGCCTACAAAATGGCGGTTTATAAATAACTTAGATACACAAACAACGCGGCAAACGAACAAACGCATCAAACGAACAAAAAATTTATTTATTTATATTTAAATTTCCCGCTATAAAATGCCCAGTTTATAATGTAAAAAATTTATTTTTAAATTTGATTTTAATTGAATGATTTATTATTATTATTATTATTATTATTATTATTAATTATTATTATTATTATTTAAATTATTATTAAATTTTTCGTTACTTTAAACAATATTGTAAATATATTATGTATTAATGAAAAATTTTTCCTCAACGTTCTTATTTATTTATTTTTAAATCTTAATAGTTAATAAATAAATAATGGATAAATTAAAAAGAAAACAATCAATAATAATGATAATAATAACGTATAGTAAATTTTAAATAAGGATTAATTAATCTCCCTCTCCTAAAACAAAATATAATAATAATAATTTGTTTTCTAATCAAAAATGGCGTCGTAAAAAATTATTATTATGACAAAAATCTAATTTATTGGTTATCGTAATTAAATATATTCGTTATTTATTAATAATAATAATGATAATAATAAATCAATGGAAATTTTTTAAATAGATTATTATAATTTTATGTATTTTAAAAAAGTAATCAAACAATTTATAATTATTATTATTATTATTATTATTTGTAATAAATAACGTTTTTTGCCGATCATTATTTATATTAACATAACATAACATAAGTTGATAATTTTTGTTTTTAATAATTTAATTAAAATTAATTAAATTCGTGTGATTACGATTAAATTTAAATTTTTTTTTTTTTAATTTCTCAAGTGTTTATTTATTATTATTATTATTATTTGTGAGTTATGTTGTTATCAATTCGAATTGATTTGAGGTTAGGTTTTTTTATAAAATTTAATTACAATAAATTTAAATTTAAATTTAAATCACTCCGAATTTATTATTATTATTATTAATATTATTATTAATATATTAAATTTTTTTTTTTTTTTTATATGTTAAAAAATTGTTGTTATGTGAAATTATTAAAATGGAAAGTTGTTATGTGTTAATTTTAAATTACGTAATAATAAATTGTCGTACTGGTTTTTTTTTTTTTTTACAGTGAATCTTTTTTATTTTAATAAATTATTTTATTTCTTAGGAAATTTATATATATATATTGAATTTCATAATTTATTACGTAATTAAATATATGATGTAGTTGATTGGGTGATGTCGATTCGTATGTATTTTTTTTTTTTAATATTATTTTATTATTATTAATGACAAGGTAATATAATAAAATAATTTTGTGTTTTTTTTTTTACAGATTTGTTTGTTTCATGATAATAACAATAATATTTGTAATCGAGTGAATAATATATTAATAATAATAATAATAATAACAGGTAGTGTGTTTAAAACAAATCAAATCGAATAATTTATTTAAAAATAATGTTATGACTGTTTTTGGTTTTTTTTTGACGACAACATGTTAATTTTTTTAGCCTTTGAAATTAATCAATATTATTATTATTATTATTATACAATTAACTGTGACATAGTATTGCTAAAAAAAAAATTAAATTGTAAACGGTGAAATATTGTGACTAATCGACTAATAAATCAATAGCCATTTTACTTATTTAACATTTGTATTAGTTAGTATGTTATTAAACTTTTATTTTATTATTATCATATTCAATTGATTAATAAGAATTTTAAATACTAACACTTTTAACAAAAGAAATCATTATATTACTTTTTTTAATAAACTAATCTGTCGTGTGAAAACATCAATAAAATTTAAAATAGTCATAAAAATTAATAAAATTTCTTTACATAATTTTTTTATTTTTTCAGACTTGTCAATTTTTCGAAGGAATTTAAAAAAAAAAAAAAATTTGTTTTTCAAATCTGATTCGATTTGATAAAATTTCAAATTTTATATTTTTTCATTATTGTAAATTTTTTTTTTTTTTTTAACGAAAGGAATGAATCGACTGCATATGGAAACAATCGTAATCAAAACCAAAAATTAAACCGATGAAAAAAAATAAAATAAATAAATAAATAAATAATTTTAGCATTTTTACGAATGTTACACATTGCAGTGACACATAATAATAATAATAATGTTTTGATTATTGTTTTTTTTTTTTTTTTGCGACTTGTATTTGTAATTTTTTTTTTTTTTTTCGTTGTTGTTAAAAAATAATAAAATGAATTTTTATTTTTTATGTTTTAATTAAATAATTTCTAAACCTTGTTATTTATTTATTTATTTATTTGTAAATTAAATATGTATGTATGTATGTACATTTTAAATAATTTTAATTTTCAGATATAATGGCAAAATATCAAAAAAAAAAAGAAAGGAATCCAATATGGGAATATTTTACAATAAGTTATTCTAAAAATAAAATGATGGCGGCACCATGTTGTAAAATATGTAAAAAAATATTTAAATATTCCAGAGGAAATGTGAAAACGTTTAATTTGATGAGACATCTCGATAGAAAACACAGATATTATTTTGAACAATATTTATTGAGGAAAAAATGCACAAACATAAGTGCTAATTATAAAAATGTCATCGTATGAAAATAATAATAATAATATTATGTAATATTGTAATGTCCATTATATATATGTTATGTATATGACAAAAAAAAATTTATATTTTTATATATTAATGTAATAATTGTTAATAACATACTTATGTACATATAAATTTATTAATACTTTTTGTTATAAAATTTTTTTTTATATTTTTATATACATAAATTTAAATTTATATAAATTTTTTTTTGATAGTTTATCATGGTACTGGTTTATTATTATGGTTGATGGTTTTTTTTGTTTTATTTACTTTTTATTAAAATAAAAATAGTTTTATAATATTGTTTTAATAACTTATTAATTATAAATAATAATTAAACTTATTAATTATTAAAGGAAAATAAATAAAATGATGATACAAGTTTTTTTTTAATTTAAAAAATTTTTAAATTATTTTTCCAGAAAAAAATAAAATTATTATTATTGTTTTCAATTGTTGTAAAGTTAATAATAATAATAATATTAATAATAATAATAATAATTAATAATAATAATAATGATTGTTAATTAAAATTTTATAATAAAAAACAAAAAAAATTTAAATAATTTGTTAAACAAAATTTTAATTTAAAAAAAAAGAAAAAAAATTAACGTTTTAAAATAATTAATTATGTTAAATATCTATTTAAAAAAATAATAATAATGATAATAATAATGATAATTATTAAATTGTTATGTAAAATAACTTCATATTATTATTATAGTAATTTTTTTTTTTTTAAAAAAAAAAAGTAATGATGATATCATACACACATTTAAAACATAATTTTTCCCCTCCCCCAATTCTCTTATCAGTAAATTATTATTATCACTTAAATAAAATTATTTAATTATTATTATTATTATTAACTCGCTTACATAAAAATTATTACTAGAGTAATAATAATAATATTGTTATTTATTATTAAAAAAATTTATTATTTTTTGTTCCATTTCAAATATTCATTCATCTCATTAAATAAAATTTAAATTTATATATATAATAATAATAATAATAATAATAATAGTAATAATAATAATAATTTTATTTAAAAAAATATGGAATTAGGTTTATATATAACAAATAATAATTTAATTTCAGGTTACAATGGTAAAAATCCAATATTTGATTATTATAAATTAATTAATGGAGGAAGAGTTTTATGTAGGATATGCGGTTGCGTTATGGCGTATAAAAAATCATCGTATTTGACCAACGTGGCACGTCATTTGAAAAGACATAGAAAATATTTCGATGAATATAATAATAAAAAATTAGAATTGAAAACGTCCAGGATGAAATGTTATTATAATAATTTCATTATGCCTCCTCCTCCTCCTTCTTATTCTTCTCACGCTACCTACGGAGATGGTTTTAACGATGATCACGAAGACATCCCATAATAATAATAATAATAATAATAATAAATTTATTATTATTGTTGTCAAACTTCCGCTTCCGGTATATACTAATTTTTTCTGTTCATTTAAAAAAAAAAAATGTGTTTTTCCTATTAACTTTCCATTTAAATTATTTACTTTATTTATAGTATTATTATTATTATTAATTAAGTTATCGTTATTCATATTAAATAATGTTAATAATAATAATAATAATAAAAATGGATATCGTTTTATTTATTTAAAAATTATAATTAATAAAATTTATAAAAAAATTTTTTTTTTTTTTTGTTTTATTCCATTTGTTTTGTTTGTTTGTTTTGTTGTTTGTTTGTTGTGGTTGTTTTAAATATTTAAATAATTATACGCACAACGCATGCGCATACGCACACTTAAAATGTAAACAAAAAAAAAAATTATTAATAATAATAATAAATAAGTTAAAAAAAAAAAAAAAATTTGTTCTTTAAAACCGGATATCCTGTTGTTTTGTTTATTTCAAAAACAGTTTTGCCAACAATTGAAAACAAAAAAAAAAAAAAGAAAATTTTTACTTTTATTTCTTAACTTAATTTATTATTATTATTATTATTATTATTATTATTATTATTATTATTATTATTATTATTATTATTATTATTATTATTATTATTATTATTATTATTATTATTAAATTTTTTGTTTTTGTTTTTCGCAGGTGGTTTTTGGCCGGATAATTTTTACGTATTAAAACAATTGAGAATGTTGAGAGATGGTAGAGAGGAACCGGAAAAGGCATTTGCTTGTTTCAAATGCGGAAATCGTTACGTACGTAAACACGCGCTTAAATCCCATTTGAGATGGGAATGTGGTATGCCACCACAATTTCAATGCACATATTGCGGATACCAGTGTAAGCTTAAACATCATTTAAAATCTCACATATCGAGAATGCATAACGTTGACCTTTGCAAATAAATTTATTATTATTATTATTATTACCTAAAACACACCGCATTCGTGATAAGTCTTCCTGTGTCCTGGTCATCTAATTCCTGAACAACAAACAACATCCGTTCAGGATCAGGAAAAATTTGTCTCAGGTCCGATGAAAAAAAAAAAAAAATTGTTACCTTCCGTTATCCTCTCCTTTATTTATTATTATTATTATTATTATTATTATTTCCACCCCTCCCCTCCCCCTCCTTTTTAGCTTTAACGTTGTTAAATGAAAAAAACCAAAAAATTTATAACGATGATGATGATGATAAATTCGTTGTTTTCTTCTTATGTACATAAATAATTTTTTTTGTTTTCCAGGTTTATTATTATTATTATTATTATATTATTATTAATTTTTTTTTTATTACCACAGAGAATTATCGTTATTAATTATTAAAATTTTAAAATTATTTATTTATAAATAATCGTTAATAATTTTTTTCTTATTGTTGTTGTTGTTATCGTGTTGTAATAACGTTTGTACAAAACAAACATAATAAAAGTTCAACAATTTAATTTTAATTTAAAAAAAAAAAAAAATGAATTCATGTACAAATTATTATTATTATTATTATTATTAATTTGTTTAAATTGGAAGAAGAAAAATGAAGAGAGATAGATAGATAGATAGATAGTTATTTTAGTTGTTGTTGTTGTTATTGTTGTTATTATTATTTTGTTGTAGTTATGTTTTTTAGATGAATAAAAAAAGAGAAAGATAGAGAGAGAGAGAGAGAGAGAGAGAGAGAGAGAGAGAGATACATAATGAAAATTTTTATATATTAATGTACAAATATTAAAATGATAATGATAATTATTATTATTATTACAAACACGAATAAAAAATTTATATATATAAATATTTATTATTTTTATATGTTGTAAAACAAAAGAAAAAAAAAGATTGTTTATATATTTTATATTATATTATTATTATTATTATTTGAAATTATTGATTAATAGTATTACTATTATTATTATCGTTAAGTTTTTAAGTTAATTTGTTGTTTGTTATTAATTTATTTAATTAAAAAAATTTGTTTCGGTTTTAGGTGAAATGTTTAAAATGTCGTTATCGTTTTAGAAGTTTGAGAGGAAAAAAAAAAAATTTAAAAAACAAATGAAATTGATATGAACAATCAAGTGTTTGTTTTTGTTGAGAAGCAGAAGAAAATTGGGAATAGCTTTTATAGGAAACAAGGTAAGACAAATTATTTAATTTATTTATGTTAATACAAACTCCGACAGTAACGTCGTGAAATACGTTTAAATAAAACGACAACAAAACATTGTTGTTGTTGTTGTTGTTGTTGTTGTTGTCGTAATGATTGTTGTTTCGAGTACTAATCGAACAATCATCATCGGGTGTCATTTTGTTTTCAAGCATTTTTTCCTTATTTTTTTTTTATAAATTTTATGCCGTGTTTATCGTTTGTTTGTTTGTTTAATTTTTAAAATGGAATTTTTGTCGTTTGTCGTTTTTCGTTGTCGTTTACGCGTCGTTTAAAATAATTATTTAATTAACTCACCTCTTGTTCTCTTGTTTAGAGTACTGCTCAATATTATTATTAATATCATCTTCAGTATTATTATTATTATTATTATTATTATTAAATCTACAAACAGCAAACTTTTCAAACGGGTATCAATATGACATTTTTAATTAACAATTTAAATATTAAAAAAAAAAAAAACGTTTCTGATTTTCTTTTCAAAATGGCTTCCCCAATCGTTTTAATAAATTTATTAAGTATTTATTTATTTTAATTTTCTTTAGGCCATGTTTTTCATCATCATCATCATCATCATCATTAATATTATTATTATTTGGATTGTGTGAGTATAAGGAAATAAATATTAAAAAACAAACAAACAAACGATCGCTTACGATTAAAAAAAAAATTAAAATGACGTCAAATAAATTTAAATAATTAATTAATTAATAAATCAATAAATAAATAGCAATAAATAACATACATAAATTAATTAATTAATTTATTTATTTATTATTATTATTATTATTATTATTATTTTAATTTTTAAAAATTGAAAAAAAAATTTTTTCGCTCAAACGAACACATTTTCATCGATAATTAATAATGATGACGATGATGATGATGATAATTATTTTTGTTATTTTTATTGGATTTTAATTTTCTTTTTTTGTTTTACGGACGCCATTTTGATTATTATTATTATTATTATTATTATTATTCCATTCAGGAAAAAAATTTAAAAACGTGATTCGTTCATATATTAAATAAATTTAAATTTAAATTAAAAAATTTTGTTGGAATTGCTTTTTTTTTTTCGTTTAAGCAAACTTTTGCAATTACATTGTTTTGATTTAAAACAATCGTTTGTTTTTTGTTGTTTGTTTTTTGTTTGTTTCGTTTTCTGTTTTTTTTTTTTTTTTTTTTTTTAAATTTAGCAAAAAAATTTAATTCGAAATCATATAATCATTTTCATCATTATCATTATTTTTTTTTTATTTTTTGTTAAATTATTTATTATCATCCGAGTATATTTTATTATTATTATTCATAAGAAATTCCATGGAAACAAAAATAATAATAATAATGATAAAAAATAAGTAGGGACGATCAATTTTTTTTGAAAAAAGGTATTATTAACATAATCTTTACATAAAGATATAAATAATAATCCTTTCCCCCCATTCGTTAAGCCGGTTTACGAAAAAAAAATGATAATAATGATGATAATAATAATAATGATAATAATGAAGTTTTGTTTTTCTCAATGTATGCACGATTTCAAGGCGAACGTAACGCGAATGATTTAATTTTAAATTGATATTAATTTATCATAAGTTAAACATGAGCGTCGTTTATTTATTTAAAAACAAACGACGTTAAATAAACTTTTATGCATTCTAATTGCAAAAGTTTTTGTTGCATTTTCACCCGCACGGTGACTGCTCAAAAAAAAAAAAAGAAAAAACTCTTAACAACTCTCTGAGAATTCTCCCGCGTGCATTTTAAATCCATTCCCGAACCGAGTTATCATTTAATATCATTTCGTACTAAGTCAAATTTTCGACAAATAATAAATAAACACGGTGCGGCACGTTATAAGTTGACATATTTTAAATTTGTCACATAGTTCTTTTTTACACTGAATGAGTAAAAACCAAACCCGTATCGCGATCCTTGATTATATTTATACGTATGCGTATATATTTTATAAACATAAGTAAATTGTTTATTATTATAAAAAAAAAAAAATTTTTTTTTTTTTTTTTTTAACTTTTTTTTTTTATTTGATTTTAATCGGAAGTTATTAATGTGTATTAATACGCGATACGATATTATTATTTTTAAAAATAAAATTATTTATTAATATTTATCTTTGAGAAAGAAAAGAAAAAAATTTTTTTTTATTTTAAAATTCTAATAATAATTTAACGTAGTAATTACGATAGAAAAAAATTTTTTTTTCCATCTTTTCGGTGTTTTATTTACGGTAAAAAATTTTTATTTTTTTTATAATTTTTAAATTAACCGATTATTATCATCATCATTATTAAACGTATTAAATAATAATTTTTTTTTTTTTTTTTTATTCAAAGACGTTGTTTTGTATTTTTCGAGCGAGGCGATTAGAAAAAAATTTAAACGCGCCCTAAAGTGAGGTTATGATTAATTTTAGTTTTTTTTTTTTTTTTTTTGTTTCTCTTACAAAAGTTTTTAAATTATGAAAATTCGTTTTGATTTTTCACAATATTCGATTAATTATTTAATTTCAAAGATAAAAAATTAAATTTTTTTAACTGAAACGGATAATTTCGTTATATTTTAACGTTAA